AATGATTGTACAAACAGTTACACCTGTAATGACTGTACTGACAGTTTTACCCGTATTGATTGTACTGACAGTTTTACCCGTAATGATTGTACAGACAATAGTACCCGTAATGATTGTACTGACAGTTTGAGTCGTAATGATTGTACTGACAGTTTTAGCCGTAATGATTGTACTGACAGTTTTAGCCGTAATGATTGTACAAACAGTTACACCCGTAATGACTGTACTGACAGTTTTACCCGTAATGATTGTACTGACAGTTTTACCCGTAATGATTGTACAGACAATAGTACCCGAAATGATTGTACCGACAGTTATACCCGTAATGATTGTACAGACAATAGTACCCGAAATGACTGTACAGACAAATGTACCAGTAATGACTATACTGACAGTTGTACCCGTAATGACTATACTGACAGTTGTACCCGTAATGACTATACTGACAGTTGTACCCGTAATGACTATACCGACAGTTGTACCCGTAATGACTATACTGACAGTTGTACCCGTAATGACTATACCGACAGTTGTATCCGTAATGATTGTACAGACAATTGTACCCGTAATGATTGTACAGACAATAGTACCTGAAATGACTGTACAGACAAATGTACCAGTAATGACTATACTGACAGTTGTACCCGTAATGACTATACCGACAGTTGTATCCGTAATGATTGTACAGACAATTGTACCCGTAATGATTGTACAGACAATAGTACCCGAAATGACTGTATCGACTGTTGTATCCGTAATGATCTGACATACATTGTACAAAGCGTGACATGAATTTATTTCATCCTTGTCTACTTCATCAGATCTAAGCACGTGTTGTACTTGTCGGAAACTATAGAGCTAAAGTTGGACCATTGTATGAGTACGGTTGAACATACTCCGAACACCTGCCATGGCGTCCGGCTCGTTATTCAAAGTTTGACCTGTGTGGTTTTTCCCCTCATTAATAATTATGCGTTGTACAAATTAGGCCAATGATTTGTATGTAGGTAGTATTAATACTAGGGCTGGGACGGGTAACCCGGATACCCGGGACGGGTGGGTAATGAGTTGGACCCGGGTACCCGTCTCAATACCCGGACCCGTTATGATCATGTGACTAATACATTAAACAATGTAATATGTTATTCTTTCATGAATAAAAAGTTGCATTGTCTTTGTAGATTTAGACATAATGACAGTCAACTCTTTTGAATATAATACATGGTTAAGATATTGAAAAAACTCGAAATTTTAGCCTCCGAGCTGAATAATATTTTGCCATTTCTTGCAAATTTGATGTCAGGAATTATCACAACGGGTATCCGGGTAGGGTAATAGGGGGTGGGGTACCCGGGTTTAAAATTTGGACCCGTCCCAGCGCTAATGAATACAACGGTGCCACCATGCAGATTTCGGTGACGTCCACCCTCAATCAGCTGACCGCCATCTCGAATTGCTTTTGTGGGTCAGGACTGTAAGCGTATCTTCACGTGCTCGGTGGATACAGTTAAGGCTGTATTTGTCCGTGTCGTTGTGTGTACGTCATCCTGTAAGTCCGTAATGCCGGGGTAGATCCCGTCTAAGTCGCCCCACCTGCACCTGGAACATTCAGATAAACTTACTGATATACGCTATGATATAAAACGGGTAATTTAGTACAGTTATAGCCCCACGACACACATACAATGTTTCCTTATCGCGGGGTAGGTATATATACATACAACGTTATCGATCGAATTCCAATACCAATCGATCAAAAGTGAACGCCGGACACCAAGCCGCCGAACCGCCTGCGTCACGCGTAAGTTAGACTGGTGCCAGGCTTTGTTTTCTTTTCGCCCCCGAGATACATACCGTTCTCTTAGAATTCCGATTGCATGGAAACCTGCGAAAGATATTTTACAACCTTTTTAATACAGTATTTGATTATGTCTTTGGGGTTACCGCTAGATTGTGTTATCGATTTATGGTTATGCGAGCCGTTTATTACAATTTATTATGATAAAATAGGTGCTGATCCTCTCTTATGGCGCTGTGACAGGCAATGTTGGAGCGGCCAGCGGGGATCAACACGAGCTCCACACACAGGCCCGGGAGAGCATGTCCTCCAACACGCCATTATAAAACAAACTAAAATCAATGCTTTGTACGAACTATTTATATGTATGTAGTTTCAGACATATTTTCTTGAAAATTAAAGAGTTCTTAGGCTGCTAGTCATTGATTTAACTAAAGGGCGTTTGATTGTTTCAAAATACTTTTCTGATTAGATCTTATGGCGACTTTACTTTGTCACATTTTTAACAGATTTAAGATATTTGTTTGCGACATGGGTGGTTTTTTTGTATTTCATGATTCGTGCCACCATATTGATCAGGTAGGAAATGAAAAATAAAACAAGGCAACATGAAGCCTATCAGAGAACGATCTGTTTTGGGATATTTACTCAATACTATTGACCGCCGCCATATAGCAGGAACATTGCTGAGTGTGGTGTTTAACAACCAACAAAGAAACAAAAATAAATTTAATTATTGAAAACAAGGGTGTTGATGTTTTTGGGGGTATACTTTCAATACTTGAATAAGAGACAAGGGTACCCCCGTTATGAATAATGATAATGCATATAAATGTTTTATCATGAGTTAATGTGCCAGGAATACCATTCCTTCTTTCCGTACTTATGGCCATCATTGGATTTTCAGGACGGTAACTCAAGCAGGAACGAGAATTATTATGACGTGACAAGCAAGTGACGTCTTGTCAAACATTATGACGTCATGACATCACTTCAGGCCGACAAAACGTCAACTGGACAATCAGATAACTTTGTTTGTTTGTTGTTTAACGCCGCTCCCAGAATTGCCAGCAATATTCGAGCTATAAGTCTGTAAATAATCGAGTCTGCACCAGCCAATCAAGTGATAAACAGCATGAGCAATGATCTATACACAGTTGGGATACGATGACATGTGTCAACCAAGTCAGCGAGCCTGACCACCTGACCCCGTGGGTCGCCTCCTACGACAAGCATGGGTTGCAGAAGACTAACTGTAACCCGGGTCTTCACGGCTGGAGATATTGGCTCTTTAATGAGTAATGATGATGTAATTAAACTTGGAACTAATGGGTTCGGGATTTTACGAGCTCAATGAACTTGTACGCCAATGGACCTAAATTCCCGGTGTGTATATGAACGTTCAGCTCGTAAAATACATCCAACCAACAGTATTATTACATGTACAATTCCAAAACCTAAAACATATTTGTATGTGACTGTTCAGTCTATGTAAACTTAGGCTCAGTATAGCAGTGTAACGAATGATACTGAGCCTAATTTTACTTAAACTGGTGAATATTAAAAGTAGTTGTACCAACACGACATTTTAAGAACTCGAAGTGCGTGTAAAGTCGACTGTGACTCGTCAGCAAGCGAAACATTAACAATTATGACCCTAGCACACTGAAATGGACATCTGAAGAACGTGCTTCACAGAGGATCTCAGAAGCTATGGGTCGCATGTTCATTGGTGGGTAGACTTCTAAATTGCAACATGTACACTTCAGTTTGCTGAACTGATTTAAACGACAACAGTAATAAAAAATGACTTTTTTCACATGGCACTGCAGAGGTACAGATAGGCTGCGTATCTGCGTAAAGTACGCACATATTTATGTGAAAATTCCTATTAAGTCTATTGCGTACAAGAACGCTTGAATTTTTGTAAATATTCAATAAATTTGATCTTACATGCGTACACACAAAAATGTCAAATCTTGATTTGCTTACCGGTGGATAGATAAAATAACTGAGGTATATTGAGAGGTTCTATTTCAACACATGAACTTGGCAACTTGCAGTCTTTCTTTTCGTTTCTCATATTATATACTCATGCCAATAATGGTTGTCACCCCCTTCAATTTTTTTAATTGGAGAGGGAGTGTGGGGTCGGGGTGTGAGGTGTGTGTGGGGAGGGGGGTGACAACCATTATTGGCATGAGTATAGATGAAATTTAAATAACAAACACGTAAACCAACATTTAAACTTTATTATATTTTTACCATTATTGGAAAATGGCAAAATACCCGAGTTTGATTGAAGTGGGTACATTTTATGAGGTTACTCAAAGGAAAAATAGGATACCCAATTGAGATGAACACAAGCGAGTACATAACTCGATCCAAAAAGTTATCTGTAGCTCTGTGACTGGCAAGAGGTAAATTTTCAGAACATACACGATGGCAAGTTATCGGCAGGATTGACGCAGAGATGTCCTGTGGCAACATCGGGCTAATTTGAACATTAACCACACGTATATTAGTCGACAAGGAGCCACGATGTGACCCCCATCAAACATCCGTTCAAAATGTGGCACTCCAAGATGGAATGGCAGATGTTATGTGCTCGTTATTGTGGTTCGTACAATCACAACAATCATTCTTTGAGAGCTCCGTGACCAAGGTCAATGTATTTCTGATTTTTTTTCCATTTTTATACACTCTATATAGTTATCTTTGGTCATATGTTATAAGACATCTCTATATAGTTATCTTTGGTCATATATTATAAGACATCTCTATATGGTTATCTTTGGTCCTATGTTATAAGACACGGTTATCTTTCGAGTCCCTACTAATTACGAAAATACGACCTCAGATATCATTTCTGAAATAAACCAAAGATCACGAATAGCGTGTAAATCTTGTTATTATTTCCACTTATGGTTCCCCTTCAGAATGTTTTCCCAAGATCGCAGAGACTGAACATGTCGTATATTAGACCAGCGAGATTATATGCATCAACTACAAAAAAAACCATACGGCTTGCTACATAAACTTTTATCAGCTAATCAGCTTTAATAACAGAAAACATAAGACGCGGGCAGTACAATAAATCGGGGATCGGGGATCTACCTGTGCACACCTGACAGCCTAAAGTTGATACGGACTATAGGTAGAAGTCGCCATGTTCCTTGGAGCACACAGCGCCATCTGGCGGTATCTACCGTGTAGTGGCGGACGCCAGATCTTGGTTACTTCCCGGTGCTCACACTAACGGATAGCAATTCGCCAATTACGTCACCATGTGAGGACGCTACCCGGACTATACAAATTAGTGGTAAGAGTGTTGTCCATTGTCATAGGGTAGATTCTGTTATTTATTTCTGGAGTTTAATGACCTAAGTTGGCATGTTCGGTGGCAGGTGCCTTAGGGGCTGACGTCTGCTAGCACAGCTCACTGAAATGACTAACTCACTTGTTTCTCAGCTTTCGTAAGGTATTCGTTAAAGTCTGCTAAAATTGGCACCACCTTCTGCTTGTAAAGCAATGATTGTCAGAACTACGTTGGCACCGACAGTCAATGTTCTGTAACAAGTCTTGGGATGGGGGTAGGGGAGGGAGGGTTGAATGTTGGAGGGGGACAGCTCTGGTTCTGAGGAGACGATGTTTGTTTATATACCGTGTCATTGAATGTACAACGTTGTGAACCTTAGTTTTATTTTGAAGGTAAAAAAATTCTAACGACAACCGAAGTCGTCTTTTTATAACAGTTTTTTTTTATTGTATATGGGTTTCCTCACTATTCAATCTGTAGGGTAACTTATGGGTGTCATTGTGCAATACGCACCTGGAAATAACGGACAGCGCTCATATATTTCTTGATTGAATAAATCTCTCTCTCTCTTCTATCTCTCTCTCTCTCTCACACACACTCTCTCTCTCTCTCTCTCTCTCTCTCACACACACACACTCTCTCTCTCTCCTTCATTTAAATTACACTGACACACACTATCCTTGACACATATCCTAGATTACATTACTTGACATGTAATTGTAAATCATTTGATCATCCTAATTTGTTGCTGTTAAGTAAATTAAGCTAAATATCTCCTACAACTAGAACAATAGAAATGTATACCCAGGGTATATTTCATAATATTGCTTAACATTATATACAATGTTGACAAATGAAACTTTGAAAGCTTAAATACAGTTGAGGAGTTATACAATGTTGCCAGTCTATTGTGTAGGAGACGCAATGTATCATTCATTACAAAACATAAATAAACATGTTGTGTTTATATTTTGATATTGCATCATAAGTGTAAATGTTTTTCTTTCTTTATATGTTATTTCAGTATATCTGGCAACAACACGGAGACAATATTGCCAGGTTTATGTTACATTTTCTGGTCTCATCAGTCTGTTGTTTTTTAGTTTTTTTATACAAGGGCAGTCAGTCTCCTAAAAGAGTCATTCAGGTAGCATGATTGTCGACAAAAAAAACAACTTTTCCCTGGAAGTTTGGTCGTGGTAACCAGATAAGTGGGTAGCGGTTAAGTTGATTGTTGATTAAGGGAAATAATAGCCTCATCGTCAGGGATGAGCATTGATTTCACATTTGTTGTTTGATTTGATTTTCCAAGGAGAAATGTGTTGATTCATCACATTGATATGTTGATAGATTGATTTTAACTGTAATTGTCAGGGGATATACGGTATCCAGAAGTAAATGAAATAATTGATATAGTTTTATATGTCAATAGTAATAGATTGAATATCAATATATGCATGGTTTCCTGTTGTCAGTGATGGCGGTGATTGTCTTCAGTTATGTTATAAGTTATGAATGATATGTACATATTAATGTTTGTTGCTACACATGTAAATTTAATAAACATAATTGTCATGATACTGCATACTGGTAGATTATATGGATGTATGGCATACAGGTGAAATGTTGGCATAATGTGAAGTCAGTAGGTATGAATTATAGGGGCCATTTGAAGACACAATGCTTGTATGTGGGCAGAGTAGTAGTACATCAGTGACACATCATGTTGTGACACATCATGTTACACCTATAACATCTTGGCAATATGTGAGTGAGTGAGTGTAGTTTTATGCCGCTTTTAGCAATATTCCAGCAATATCACGGCGGGGGACACCAGAAATGGGCCTCACACATTGTGCCCACGTGGGGAATCGAACCCGGGTCTTCGGCGTGACGAGCGAACGCTTTAACCACTAGGCTACCCAACCGCCCCTGTTGGCAATATGTAGAGATCTGCTGTATATAGGTATAACATTTAGACAAAGTATGTGTATAACAACTATTTGTGTAACACATAGACAATATATTGGTGTATTATATGAACCTTATTTGTATGTTATGAAGATGTTATATTGATTTGAAATATAGGCTGTAAATAGGTATAACATGTAGACAGTATATTGGTATAACATATGGACACAATATTTATATTAATATATAAACCTTATTTGTATATTATAAAGATGCTGTATTGATTCGAAATATAGGCAGTAAATGGATATAACATATAGACAATACATTGGTATAACATAATTATGACACAATATTTATGTAACATGTAGCCATTCATTGTACAACATGTAGATCTAGATTATTCCAGTAACAAAAGGGAAAACAAAATAATCATTATTTTTTGCATTCAAGCTTAGTCTGAAATTTAGGGGTGTTTTCAACATTACTGTGTAAGATTAAAGTTGATATGTACAGGATTAATATGTACAATTAATGTTAATATGTACAGATCAAAGTATATTATTACAGTTGATAAACATTGGGTTGTTATATGACTAATAGAGGCATGATTGATATGTGACATTATTGTTGAAATATACAGGGTTCATATGTTAGATTATATTCTACATACACATGGTTAGTATATAGCATTATTATTTGGATAAACAGAGGGTTGTTATATGACAATAATAAACTCATATTTGATATGTAACGTTATTGTTGATATATACAGGGTTGATACATTAGGTTAAATTTTACATACTCATGGTTAATATATACCATTAATTTGTATATACTCAGGGATGATATAACAATATTGAGAGGTCATCTTATACATGGTTGACAGCTGTTGTGACAGGAAGGCACAGTCTAGTGACTGCCTGTGTTGATAATCTGTCAAACACATGCATTTATGTCCTTTTCCAGAGATAAATTCCAGTTCTTGTGCATACCTGCCATGCCATACCTAGAGCATTATGTGTGATGTTTAGCTGTAATGAGATAGCAATAAATGAGTGCTACCACATGCATGTGAATTTCAGGATCAGGTTCAGCCATACTTGGGTCAACCTCATTACTTCCTTGATTCCCAGAGAAGTATGCTGCTGTCAAGGGAAAGGAGGGAGTAAATAGCACATGCTGAGAGTCTGTAGTTCTGGTGTCTTTGGAACATTGTGTTACTAAGTATACTTTGAGGGAACTTTAGTGGGAGAGAAGGTGTTTCATAACAAGTCTACAACAGGTATAATTGTAGTCTTGTGTTTGCTATTTACTATTAAATTGATACATAACTGCATATCAGTCGGTGCTATATCCTGTAGTACATTGAATAAGAAGCTGTGTCAAGATTATTGTTGTGTGTTGCATCACAATGCATATGGGAACATAGCATAACATGTCATATCACACCCCAAATAGATACTGACAACATCATATGGAGCATACTGAAAATATTCCGCTTCAGTATGTGATAAATGTATCATATTCCAAATACTGCATGGCAATATCTATCGTGTCGCACCCCTGCTTAAGACTATGTATAAATATACTAACTACTGGCACTGGAAGTACAGTCAGAGGCTGGTAGTGGTTGGTGATTCTCAACTGGGCCAAAATAGAACTTGATGCGGATATTATTAGGTTTTGTTTTTTGTGTGTTGCAGCAGTACACTTCTTTTGTGAACATTTAGTCATCTGCTGTTGATGGCTGCAGCAGGTACATCTTGTAATGTTGATGGTCTTCTCATTGCTGTAGCAGGATGGGAATGGATATGTTCTCACATGCTGACATGCCAGTCTTCATTGCAAGAACATTTAACGAATCATTTAATGTGATACACATAATACTGTAACCTATATAATCAGGATAGAAGAATGTATCTAAGTTGCAGGCTTAATGCTGAATTCCTGTTGCCAAAACTTTCAGAACCAACATTTTGAATTCCACTGTCTTCATATTTGGGTAAGGTGTGACATTTTAAGTTCAGCTGTAACCTGGTAAACGTTTTACTCCCACATATATATCAGTTACTAGCATTTTAGCGTGAATGTTACTGAATCGTTTCATGTCTAGCTCTTTTCAAAGCTGGTTTTACACTAAATTGAGAGAATTGTTCTGTTATTGAAGGTATATCCATCCATTCTAACCACCTGAGTGAGTGGGGGTGTTGGGCTGACATATGCCACATCACCCAGAAATATATAGTATGTCATGTCAAATGTTGTTGATGTCACACAAACGATTCTTGGGACTTCAAAGATGAAGTTGTGATACACGTGAAGCCCTTTTTTGCATCTTGTCTGCTCTACTGTCAGTTTTGTTCCTACATTTGCTCAGACAAACTTGTTAAGTTTCAGAGTATCAACTGGATATGTATTCACAAGGTATTATAAATTCATTAGGAAGTAAGAAGTAGTTTGCCCATATTATCTGCACATAACATAAAACTTAAGTTTCATGAAACTTATGAGATGTATTGATATGAATGATAATCAGATTCTGTTCTTTTCAACACTTGTACTTTTAGAATAATGACATAAGCATGTCAAAAGAGCTGATTTTGTTTAGTATTCCAGTATTTGAATATATCCTAAGCTTTTTTCTTTGCAACTGTTGTTTTCTTGAACTTACTTCAAAGGATAGGTGCCTTAGGCTTACTTGTCAGCAGAATAAAATGTCATATCACACAGCAACCAGTACTATATTCTTTGCACTAAAGAACAAGATTCCATTGAGAAGTCAGGATAAATTAATAATGAAAGTCAGAAAACAACTCTCAGCCATTAGTGTCATGACTTCCACAAACAAGCCTGTTTATTTTATACATGGATATGACAATCGTATTATCTTTGTAAGTTCCTTGGCATGAAATATGGATGATTGTTTATCTATGCTGTATGTAAAGCATTATGATCTGTACCATGTATGATACGTGTCGTATTACATCCTTGTCTTGGATTGTTGTGATATGAGGACTTATCCCCGGCTTATAGGTGTGTAGCTGCATGACGGGTCAGTCCCTGGGATAGGAGCCACTTCAGCAGGGGAT